GTTGAACAAAATGCAACTTTTTATTCCATCTGAGAAGTTTTAGGAAAGAAACTGCTCAAATCTCTAAACAAGCTAAACTTCATCTTGCTGCTCTGCACAGATGGTAAGTGCCTTTAAAGTCATTGCACATGCTCAGTTGTGTTTTAAACCACTTGCCAAAATCCTCAAGTATTTTATCTAACCAAGCAAGCTTTGTTGCTGCACCACTCCTCCATGCTGACAGGACAGAACATGCTTTTTATCATTTTATTATAAAGACCAGGAGCAGCTTGCATACGAACCTGCCAGCTATGAAGCAGTTAAAGCGCCTGGCAGCCCAGTAGCTGGTGAACAGGGACATTTTTCTAGGTTATACGGCCCCACCCATTCTGAAAACAGGAGGCAGCAGCAGGATCAAGGGCTTAGCAAAGGCTGCCCCCCCATTCAGGATCCCAGCTGAAACAGCAGATGGGGGGCTCGCCCAGTAGCACTAAAAGGGGCTAGCCGATACAGAAAGCATGAAGACCAGTGGCCAAAGTGATGTCCCCATCTGCTCCGTCCAACTCCACATGCCAACCTTGCTGGCAAACGGAGCCAACATTTTTTAACGCTTTTTTCTATTCTTCCCCTTTTTTCTATTTTTTTCCATTCTTTCCATTCCTTCTTAAAGGCTTACAAAAAAGTTAAACTGAAAATATTAACATTCTGAAATCATTGAAAAAATTTTAAAATCACTGTCCAACTCAACACCTCTCCCTTTAACCCCAGTTGCACATAGATAATTAAGCACATTGCTGTGTCTACCTGGGACTGGCACCCATCGATTCAACAAAAAAACTACTATAGATTTACTTATGCCACTTGTATCACCTCCAAAGTACATTATTTCAGCAAACACAGATATAAAATGGTCTTATAATGGAGAACTCAATTCTGACAAAGACTTACATCCTAGCTTTGTCTTGCCCAGTAAAGGTACATAGTGCATTTTAATTACATACAAATTAGGATGCTTTTTTTTTTCCCATGAGGAGTAAACAAGACAAATGCAATCTTGATTATCACAGACCACAACTTCTGATTAAGACTACTCATTCACAGCAGATTTTCAACTGGCATTTAAATCACTGATTTAACTGTTGGAAATATTTACACCAGCCAATAGGGGGGTGGCAACACATGAGCTGGAAAGAAATGTAGTCCATAAATCACATCGACTTGCCGTAAGCACATTTTGCTACTCAGCAGATGCAGTACTTATGGACATTTATTCACGTGTTTCCACAGGAACTAAACTATAGAATTAATGTCAGTAAATGTATTATTTAACACTGTAAACCCCCTGATTTTAATCAAAGCTTTGGATATATTAGCATTTTAAATGTGAAGTACTGAATTTGCTTAAAAAACAACACAAGACAAAACCTGTGGTTAGTAAATCCACAGCTAAAGAGGAACAAGCACATAGAATCGTTTTCTGAAAAAGTATTTGAGTGCAGGTGGGGGAGGAGAGGAGGGGAGGCAGCTATCCATTAAGGGTTTTCAGATTACATACACACAGACTCGCACAAACCGGCTTCAATGGGAGTTAAATGCCTGATGTGTTAGAGTGCTTTTGAAAAGTCTACTCAGTATCTCTTTTCATCAGGCTATTAAATTAGTTTGTGTTTGTTTATTAATTTTAAGAAAAACAAAGAGCCACACACACATTCCCCTTGTTTTTAAAATTTGATCTTGTTACCCTCTAACCTAAAAATAATGAAAGTATGTTAATCAAGTTTCTTGACTTTTTGGCATAACTGGACCCTCAAATATAAAGAGGCACTACAAAATCAGAGAATGAAAACAAAGGAAGTTACTGAAGAAATGATGTCAAAATAGTTTAGTTTTCCATGCACGGTATCAGTGCTTACGTACTATTTTTGCTTCATTGTAGGGAGTGAGAAGAGCTACTTAATGCAAAAGGGACCTTTCTAAAACACAATTTGACCTTGAAATATGGAGGAATTCCTAGCTCAATGCTGTAATTAACATCTCTGAATAAATTTGAGTGTACACAGACAGTATATTTGGTACAACAGCAAAAGGCCTTCATTTAGTTCAATGCTAATGCTTAGCATGCAGTGTTTGAAGTGACAGTTATGTGTCTACGGTATACCTTATCTGAGCATTTCATTAGCTAAAAATCCACTTTCCTCCACTTGTTTTCAAGTATCTTCCTGTATTTCACTTTCATACTGACTAAAGTTTAACAGACTACCTTCAACCAAACTGCCAATTAAGGACAGAACAGAATAATTCTCATATTAGAATAATTTGTTTTGCCACTGTACAGTCAGATTATCTTACTGTATTTCAAATATTATCCATCCTCTGTGTTCCAATGGTTGTAACACAAAAGCACCTGCTAAAACTTACTGAAAAAAATGAAAGCTGTAATGTGGTTTTGCATGTCACTGTTAGGCTCAAATGTTAAATTTCAGAGATCAATTGTTTACAAGTTAAGCTGAAATCGGAGTATTTCTTCAGTGCTATGCAAAATGGAAAAGAGCACCTATGTCTATGTTACAGACTAGAGCGCCACAGACTCACTACTGAGTCCTACAACAAAAGGGCAAGAGGCAGGGTTTACTACCTCCAGTAAGATAAATATCAATTTTTAAAGAGTTTGAATACCAGAATGGGTTCCAGACAACTTGTGGAATCTCTTTGCTAAGAAACCTTCCAAACTTTCGCTGAACAGGTCTCAAACAGCTCTTTGTCAGCAAGGTTTAGATTGATGCTAGCATAACATCTCTATGATTTTCAGTGAAACATTATCATGAGAGAATTATATACTGCAGCCTTTTGATAAACTGGTACCATTATAATGAGTTACTAAGACAAGGGACTGTATGATTAATTGCACTTTATCTTAATTTCAAGATATGTCACTACATTCTTTTCATTACTGTTTTAATCATAGTATATTTTATTAGTCTCACAAATCCTTTACATTTTGCATACATCCGTTAGTATTCCCATCTTTATGGGAAAGAAACTATATATTCCTGATGACAACATTAATTCCTACCATCAAGGATTTTTTTTTCCATTTAATAGCAAAACCAGCATGTTTTTGAATACTGCTCTCAATGCCCTCTGGATTTTTTGTACTGAACTTTATATTCTTCACCAACCAGTTCCATTGCATGAAAACCTTACGCTTCTATTTTTTCTAATGTTCTCCTAAAGAAGTAAAACCTTCACTTTCATTAAAAAGAAATTGTACAATAAATCTCACTAATCTCTCCAGGATTCATACAAAAGGTATATTTATAATAGCTGCTTGCCGATTAGAAAACCAGTTATGCTCCTTAAAGTGTTTATACAAATAGCATGTCTCATACACTGATGTTTATCTGCAGAGTTCTCCAAAATAACACTGTCATCGTTAGCACAGAAATTCCAAGTAATTTTAGGAAGATTTGCAACCATTGTGGAAGTTAATACAAGAGGTCAGTGACTGCCAAAAACAGAAGAATGGATTACATCCATCTTCTTCAAGTCCCCAAAACATTTGTAATGTTTTGTTTCAGATCCAGTTGCTTCCTTGTTTATAGATAAATGACTAAATGGTTGCGTAGTTTCACAACATTAGGAAGCAGTTTAATGTATTTTTATACAGAGCACTGGAGGGACCATCAGGATAGAGTGTTTTCTGTTTTGTTTAGTGTTTTGTGTGTGTGTGTGTGTGTGTGTGTGTGTGTGTTTTTTTAAGATTAATACGACTACTTTTTCTTAAATGCACTGTATCTTCAGTTCCCACCCAAGAAGACCAACTGAACTGTAGCTTATGTGCAATAAAACCATGAGTTGGGGAACCATAGCTTAAGCATGTGTCTGCCAACAGGACATCCAAGACGTATCCACCATAATTTAAACAAGTCATGCTCCCTTTAGCAGACTTGCAGGTAATTTTGCACATAACCTGATGCTAAGCTTTAAAGCTAATATCCAGTCACACTCACGTACTGGGAGGTTTGTATTAGCATCTGGTGAGTGTCAAACATGGTTCGTAACCAATTAGCACCAGTCATAAATTTATGCCACAGAACTCAAACGTACCACCTATCGGGTGCAGTTTATACTGTGTGTTTTTTTTGTCAGTAAACAAAATGCCACATTGCATTTCTATGACAATACATCATGCCAACATTGCACTTAAAAGAAAGGGATGTTATGTTTATGTACATCAGTCAGAACTTTATATTCCTGTACATCATCAAATTTAGTTCTTAGCAGAAAAGTCCCTATTGTCATCTCTAGGCATGGCATAGCTTTAGTGTTTTCTATTTAAAACCCACTGAGCCTTTTTAGTGTACCTAACAATCCAGTAAGATTTAGAAATCTACAAAACCTTACCACCATTTGGGCTTCCATCAGATTCTCTAATATGGAAACGACATCATACATGCAATAACAGGATAAACATGGCATAGCATGGAGGGAACACAAAAGCATATGAAACAAAAGTAATGTAATTCCTTCTGTCTTTCAAGATATAAATGCTGTGATATAGTTGTTGTTTTTTTCCCCTCCCATTGCAGGTAGACAGACAATATGCTTAGACATATGCCTCCATCCTGTCAAGAACAAAAGTTATTTATCCCTTCTCTCCAGTGTATACTATTTACCTCATTGTGGCACCTGTCTGTAAATCATTACTTAGGAACATTTTAATGAGCGCAGCTATCTGAAACAAAACAATCTTTTTTCTGTGCTTACTAGCCTTAGATACTACATGCACTGGGGACAGGTAATACCATACACTTCCCCAAATTTAAAGAAAGTGGAAAAGAACATATATAATCTATAAAGTATTGTAGATTATTAATACAGAACATAAGAAAATACATTTCCCTAAGGAAATTGCAATTATTTCGTCCCTTCTCCAAACCCCCTTACAATCAGTGTTTTCTGTGGATCAGTTCTTGTAACTCAAAGTAGCCCTGGACAACCAAGTCAAACAGAAGACTTACCTAGCTCAGTGTTCTCTCTCCAACAGAAGCCAGTAGGAAAGCCTAGAAAGAACAAGGTAAGCATATCACTGTTTCAGCATTCTCTCAAACTTCATAGTCTCCAGCTCAAGAATTTCCTGGTTCACAAGGACCGAGTTTCCCAGCAGCTGGATTTCTCCTCTGTGAGTATATGAATTGCTTTTTGAACCCATTAAAATCAACACAGCTGTAATATTCTGTGGCAGCAAGTTCTGCAGTTATGCTCCACACTATTTAAAAGTACCTGAATTTTATTTTTTTAATTGCCATGTGATAATAAATAGGAGAGAAATACATGAAATGGCTGAAAACCAAAACACTGTCTTCATCTTGATTTTCCATGACACTCATGGTTATTTCATATGGATCAGTCTTGTACTCTTAAGGCAAAAGATAGAAGTTCTGGTAAATTTTATTTCTCATACAAAAACTGTTCCATAGATTTGACCTTTGTCTTTCTCTGTACTTTAAGACCACTGTACTCTTTTTGGCATGGCAAATCTTCATGCAATAAGCTTTGCAAAATTGTATTATACAATATCAAAGTCTCACATCTATAAAGGAAATCATAAATTGGCAGTTAAGTCAATAAATGAATTTATATTAAGCAGAATTTAAAAAATCTATGTAGAACTAAGCTCAAACTCTGGAAATGTCTTTAATCTTGTATAACAAACTCCACATAGTGAAATCTGATCTACCACTGTTTTTATCCAGCATCTAAGTAAACAAAACAAGTTTTAGGCTTTGACGATAAAGACTTTTCAGTTGTTTTACGTCTTCAACAATATATTTAGCCTTTAGAAAATATAAGTCTTAGAAATCCCACGTTCAAGCTTGAACTTTGCATCGAATTTGCAAAGTAACATTTAGATAAGATATCCAAAATGTAAACAAAGCAATGACAGAGGCTTTATTTCATAATGTACTGTTTATTTCAATATTTTTAATCAGCGATAAACTAGCTAAACAATACACAATTCACAGTACAATCCTTGTAAAAGCTGGAAAAGATATTAAGGTTCATGTCAAGTTCAATGTGCTCTATTTTTAACTTTAGTCAAGTCCCTTCTCATTAGCAGTAACTTAATAAATAAGCTCTTATATCAAATCAACTTCCTAGCTGCAGCTAGGAATTCATGTACTTACAAAATAAAATGTTTAGCCCAACAAATAATTTGGTTACTTGGATCTAGCAAACTAACAATCTCCCATTGCCACAGTATGCCAAATAAAGGATTATTAATTGCTTAACAAAGCAGTACTTAATTGTTTGCTATTATTTTTCGTAGTCATCGTTTGCCTCACAAGCTTCATACCAAAACTTTAAGAAACAACAGAAAACTGGCCTCCCCCTTTGATGCAGCTCACAGAAAAAAAAAAAAAAAAGCAATCTTCACATTCATATAGTTTGACAGCAATGGCACAATTCATTTAGCATAACTTTTTAATAGTGAAATTTAGGACAGTGCTGTAGGACCTGCTGAAGATGCTTTTTAAAAGCATTTCACAAGGTCAAACCAACCCAGACTATTTTCATGACTGACTTATTAGGAAAGAGCCAAGTTTACATAATAGTGATCTGCAAGACAGACGATGCCTTTGAAAACAAGCCCATCCTTGAAGACACTTCTGCATTTCAAGGATGCTAACAAATAGCATCTAGCTTGTCTTTAAGAGACAACAAACTTTGAGCACTCCTGCATGCAGCAGTACCCGTATCACACAACAGTAACCCTGTTTGGAGGCCAGACTCATTCAAGAATTGATACACACTGTAAGCAAACATCAGATCTCAAAAGCACACTGACAAAACCCAACACCTGCTCAGAGGATGGTATCGAAGTCAAATAGGACTTGTAACAATCACAATAAAAATAACCCAAACCTGGGATGTGATTAGAGCACCAAGAAGCCATTTCTCAGCTACCGATTTCTGAGTCAGATCTAGAACCACATTTAGAATAACTTTCCAGCACCACCTCTAAAAACTAAGATGATTTCAACAACCACCTCAAGACATTTCTAGCTTCACATCTGGAACCATCACCCAGAAGCAGCACACCCCTAGGACTTGGTGAGAAAACATCCAGGAGCCTTTCTAAACACACACCAACCCGTATCTAGAAGCTTTTGTAGAACAGCTTCTGAACTCCCTCCCAGGACTGATTCTGTAGTCACACCCTCAAAACACCACTCACATTGTTTCTAGGACCAGTGCCAGGCACGTCCCCAGGAACCCCTTCTGCAGCCACAGTTGTACAATTCCCCCCTCCCACCCCCTCCCCCCCAAAAAAACAAAACACTAGCTGATTTGGCCACATACAATTAGGGAAGATGCTTGTAAGAGTTAAAAAAGTGTCATTGATATTGAAGCTGCTTCACCTGTTCTGCAGAATGTGTTTACAATTTTATGTAACAAGCCTTAATGCAAATTCTGCCAGCTATGAAACAGGAGCTAAAAACTAACTGCTGGTGGCTAGCTTTGTGTTAAGTTCTTAGGCAATTACTGAATTCTACTCTATGTCCCCTCAGGTTCTTGAATATAATATTGAAATGCATGAAGACTTTCTATGCAAAGATTGAGAGAAAAGTCAGAGAAGTTTATGAAATGTCTGGTTTGGAGGCGGGGCCTGTAAGCTAGAATAAATATGCTAAAAATGCACTAATACACAAGCAGGTTAGAACAAGCCGCTTCTCAGTTGTGTTCTTTTATTTTTTGTTGTTGGGTTGGCATTTGTGACTAACCAACAGCCCTATCTACAACCTTTTTTTCAACTGACTTAGCTAAGATCTCTATGGGGCAATTACTTCTTATTTTGTTCCACTATTGATGCTGAGGAGCCAGCATAACTATAGAAGAGAAATATTCCATTTCATGCTCACTAACTGGCAGTGACATTTTTGTTGGTAGTGCTTTTGGTGTTGTGTTTTTTTTGTTTTGTATTGTAGGGTGGGTTTTATTTCTAACAGTACATTGATTCATTTATAAAAAAGATTACAGCGTTTGCAATGCTAGTGAAATGTCTTACTAATTTTATTTGGTGAGGAAGAAAAGCCTGGAAGTTTTGCAAGTTTTTATTATTTCAGAAAAAAACAAGTCTAGACTGGATTGGAATTACTAAATACCAAAGCTCCGTAATAGAATAAACTTTCAGGGGAGCAAATACAACTGTAAAAAAGTATCCAACCTTTTGTTTAAAGTGTTATATTAGAAAATAGAAACAACCTTGCTACTAAAAAAAAGATTTTTTAGTGGCTGAGGCAATTAGCATCACTAAACATGAAGTCTATTTTGCTTAATGCCAGCATGTATACTTAGAACAAAACATTGCCACTGTCTGCCACATTAGCACACCTGATTTTGTTAAAAGATATGAACTACTTGCACCCTCAAGAAATCTGTAACAGCTGTGGAGTATCAGACTGTTTCTCTCGTGCACATTTCTCGTAATTAAATTTGCCTGAATGTGCCTAAGGGAGCTTTGAAGTTACCTTCTATCAGCAATGTAGCCAAGATGTTGCATGAAGCAAGAACTTTGGCTAGAATCTGGATATACTTCCCATGGAACTCAGCACCTGCTACCAGACCAGATCAACAAGATAGCCATCCTGTGACACAGCTCCACAGCTTTGGGGTGCTAAGCCTGTACCTCAGACTGGAAGCATGTCCCTGGTAATTAGTAATGGAGATACCAGCCCCACAGCTCAAACAAATAGGGAACTGAGTGCAATTTCTTAGCTGCCAGTTTTGCTTATTTTGTAGTCAAAGAGTTCAGTGCTTAGATATGAAGTGCTACTTCATATCATGAGGAAATGACTTGTGTATCATGCCCTGGAAATCTCGATTATGTGGCACAAGTGAAAATTGTTTTTTTTCTTGCTAGAACCTCACACTGTAACAATAGACACACCCGTATTTTCATGCTATAATGTGTTAAAATGTGAGCAGACTGCTCACTTTGGGGAAAAAGATGCAGACAAGTAAATGTCTTACAGATTGACTTTAATAAGAGATTTTTCTTAAGCCCCTTTTACGAGTAGTTTGAATCTACAAGCTATCCCCCATCCCCTACTGGGGTCTAGGCTTGTTTTATTGAAGGTAAACAGAGACCACCAGGACTGTTCATCTGATACCCTTCACTCTTATGTTCTCATTCCCTCCTTAAGAGATATGCACAACTTGCTAACATGGAAACAGAAGTACCAGCTCACCTGACGTTGCTGTGTAGCGCTGGTAGTACTTCAAGCCTGGAGGTTCCCCTGAACCACTGCTACTGAACCTGCTTATATAAAAATTCCAAATTAATACAAACTCTTAAAGGTCATAAATACAAGACTTATATCTTGGTTACATTTATTAACAACAGACATCTCCAAACCCAGTTCAATCCAGTTCAAGGGAATGGCACCAAATCTAGATCCAGATCAGGCTCTAGGAAATGGCTCCTTGCATACAATTCAGGAGACGTTAACAAATACTCTGGACACAGCTCTATAAAGTACCTTACTATAAGGATATAAAAATCACTTGGGAAATAAAATCCCCCAAAGCTACAAACTAATCAGAAGGTTACAAAAAAAGTGGGGGGGATTAATAATACAGGTTCTTGAGAGGAAGCTAGAAGAACTCTAAGTCTGTTCAGCCTAAAAAGGAGGAGGAAGATTACTTTACTGTCTGAATACATTAGTAGAATGGATGTTGGGAAGAGAGAAGAGTTAAAAAAAAAAAAAAAAAAAAAAAAAAAGCTTACCGCTTTATGAAAGAGGTTTGAGATGAGATGTTAGCCATATCATCTGCTGAATGATAGCTTTGTTGCTGTCATGCTACACTACTTTAGACCAAGAAATGATGTAAGAGGAAAGAAGAAAACCAAGTTTAAATCCAAAAAGTAGGAAAAAGCACAAACAAAAAGCCACATAAAACATGGTGGCTTTTTACTCATCAGATAACTATCCAAACCAAGGAAACAGCACTTTCATTCAAATGAAATTTTAGTTTAATGGATTCAACTTTATGCATGCAGTATGAAGTCCTGCAACCTCAGACACAGAATCAGCTTCATGAAAAATTCCTTCTCTAGCCTTATCTCTGAATTTGTCTGCATTTGACTGAAAATGCTGTTAGAGTGACATTCTCAAACTATATCCAGAAGGATTTAGATGCAAGAATGAATCTGGACATCTTATAACAGAGATCCTTACATGTAAGAATTTCTGAATTCTCAGCTCAGCACAACAATTTTCACCATCTTAATTAAATTTCCACCAGTATAGGCATTTGCTTTGGTACTACAAGCTTCAGGGCTGGTCACCAATTTCTAGTCAAGTTGCTCAGGCTTCTACAGATTCCATGTAGAATTCCATTTTCTATTTTGTAAGTGTTTTGCTTTTAAATAAAACAATTTTCATGTCATTGATACTAGACCACTTCTGGCTTTCAGTTCAACCAAGCCCCACCCTACTGCAATGATTCGAAGAATCCTGAAATATCTGATGGATTGGAACACAGAATAAAGAGAACCTCCTTTCCCTCAACCCCAAAATAACCCCCTGCTTTGCCTCCCTGTTGTTGCTTTCTCAAGGCAGCAATCACATCCGGACTGATGTTTGGTGAGGATATTTTGCTTAAGCAGCAAGCACTCCAGGCTGCAACTGCTGGGTGACCTTGAGCAGCTCCTGGAAGGCAGTCGCCATGGTAACCCCACCACAACCGTACATCCTCAGCTGACAATGCCAGCCTGGTGCAACCCATCTATAATAAGGACATCTACCCTGCATTAGGGCTCACTGTTTAAGGAGGAAGTCAGGTGTTTTGTTTTTTTTTTTGTTTGTTTGTTTGTTTTACAATTTAAAAAACCTGTGCTGTAGTAGACGCTGTATGCTCTCTGTATGAATACAAGTGACACAAGCTGTACGAGTTCACACAGTGCAGGAGTTAAATAAAGTACCCTAAAATAATGCACTAAGGAAAGTTGAAGCTACTTACTGTCTTAATCCAGAGGGTGGTCCTTGAACAAATGAGTCTGCTGAAGAGACCTTGCAATACCACATAGCTTGGAGAAAGAAGCTTGTCTTTTGTCAAATTCTCTAATACAAGTAAACTTTATAGAGCTTAATGGAGTCAAATTTGATGCGAAGTGAGAGCAAAATAGGTTATTTTTGCATGCCAGAATATTCTCAGTTCCACCTGTGCAACCCTCATCACCTTGAATAAACTTTCAAACCAACCTGGAATTAATTGTGTGGCTCCAAAAGCTTTTTCTCTACATAGTATGCTACTAGTTCCTGTGAGGTCTGGCAGAGCAGGAAGGAGTGGATGATTCCTTAAATATGAATAAAAATGAAATAGCCAGAATTGAAAAGTGCCAGTTAACAGAATGGTTCAGTAGAACCATTTCTGTTTAAAGACAAAGGATTAATGAACATATTTAAGCGGTCAGTTATAAAACTCCAGCAGTCAGATATTAAAGTTTCCTTTAAAACTAAACTGCATTTGCAAGATCGATCTCTTCCTTACACTGCAACTAGAAGAAAGGGCCAAATCAGATAAGTGTCATAATTTGTTGATGTCCAAGAGATTCTAGTATAGGTAAAACATTTGTTTTACCTATGATTAGAAACAAGAGTTAGGACTGTTCTGCCTCAGAGAAATCAGCCAGAGTCATGGATTTGCACTTATCTATCGCAAAGGAAAACATTTGTTGAATCTCCACACCAGTGGAATCACTCTGTCAGCTAAAAGTTAATTTCAGCCAGAAGTAAATATACATATTTTAAAATAGGCTTTTCAATACTCCTCTAAAGAGTATTATTGTTTTTAGTTAATTCAGTCAAGTACCTGCCCTGAAACCTGGATGAGGAGCTCCTCCATCCACAAACTGTAGCCTAAAGGAGTTAACCTATGTTTAACTTCCATGACACTCTTGATCTTTGCTTAGGAGAAGGAGAAACACAAGGGCATAGAGGCATCTCAAGGATTGCAATACTATCTGTAGAGACAAAACCCTAGTAGACAATGTGACCTGCAAAGTATTTTCAAAAAGTATTAGCAGGGTAAAGGGAATTCATGTTTGTCTTTTTTTTTTTTTTTTTTTTTTTAAGATTTCAGAAGATACATAAAAAGTAGCAAGATTTTTTTTTTTTTTAAAAAAAAAAAAAGCTCGTGTCTATTCTAACATCAAGGGAGGAAGAGCCTGTGAAACGTGATCCACATGCCAGACCTCCACTCCAATTGCACACTTCACTAATTGAGAAGTTAATGATAAAACTTGTGTTTAGGCAAGCTTGCAGGGGAAATTCAGAAGGAATACTTGTCTTCTACACAGCATGCACTACTGTAGTGTCCTTGAGTTCAAGAAAGCCTGAATACAGAATTCTGTGGAACCAGAGAAAGTGACAACAGTACAAGTTGTCTCTAACCTTGCTCTTTTTGGTAAGACATTAAGAAGCTCCTTGAAGCATACCCAAATTTAATTTACAGCCACACAGAAAGATTTCTCATACTTCATTGTCTATTTAATACTCCATTGAAACTCTTTCAGAGATCTCATTTTATCAACTAAAAAATGATAATAGGTTATCACACATTTAATAACACATCTTTTCTTGAAGTGTCCCTTTCAAAACATAACACCTATTTTTAAAAAATGCTGATGAAAGAGTAAACCACATCCTTCTTCCCCACCCCCCAAAGTTTCACACCACTTAATTTTAACTGCTTAGACACACCTTCACTTCCATACAGTTCTTATTCTCCTTCTTTAGGTGACATCAGCACCTGTAAAATTTGTATCTTTGGATATTGTGGGTTTGTGTTTTTTTTGTTTTGTTTTTGTTTTCTTTTGTTTGTTTCTTGTTTTTAACATAGGCATTGAAATAGAGAAGTCACGCACCTGTCTGAAGCTTTTCCCCCAGTTTGGGATTCACAGAGTCTTTCAATGATACAACCTACAAGGCAGAAGCTCACACTACAGAAACTCTCAGTGAGGGCACTAACAGGATCTCCCTTCTGTCTGGCCATACATTTCTCCAAAATTGTGTCGTTGTGTTTTGCTTTGCTGACCTTACTACCTGGAGTTTTCAATCACTGAAATTTGAGCAATGTTTCCCTCTGCAGTAAGAAGGGCAGACAATATAATCACTCAGGAGAGAACAGTAGAAGTAAGAAACAAGAGATTTGGTTTTACCCTAAAGCTACGTGAGGAGTAGAGTTACTTAGTTCCCTGAAAGGAAGCTCTGTCTGCTACATATATGTAAATATAACTCAAAAAAAAAAAAAAGCATTAAGTAGAGGTTATCATTATTACTGTCCCTACACAAGTTAATACAATGTGCAGTTTTCTTGATGAAGTAATTACCACTTTACTTCATATGATACTGAAGCATTAAAGAATAGAGCAAAAACTAAAGAACTATATATTTCACTTCAAAAGAGCTGACAAAAGTTAATATGCAACTGGAAAAAAAGATGACAGAATGGGAAGGAAGTTCCCAAACAATATTAAGCAGACATTCCACAAGGCTCTAACCACCTCCTCCCCACCCCCCAAAAAAAAAATAAAAATATTTTGGTGACGGTTTGTTATAGTACGATTACCAATCAAAAGGGTTCAGCTACATTGCTTTCAGAGGTCTAGAAAAACTGCCACCCTGGCTCAAAAAAGTATTATTTGAGATTGATGATCTTATCAATTGCTGTCACATTCCACTTCTTTCTTTCATCTGTGCCATTGCAGGCAAGATGGTTATATTCTAAATTGACCTGTCCAATCAATCTGTGTACAGGCATTGACATATTCCTTTAGAACAAGCGTTCATATAAACACTGAATATGTTTCTATTTAGCAATAGCTTCCTAGGGTAAACATATTTTATCAGAGCACAATACTTTGTCTTCAACTTTGCATGTAGCTGTTTATTTTGGCCTAACTGCACAGGTTTACTTTGAAAATAATCTAGAACTAAGCATGAAAAGCACTTGTGGCATATAGTAGGACAAAACTTGAGTCTGTACTGTCTTGTTGTCCTCCCTTCCCATTTTGTTTTCATTTCTACAAAACAAATCCTCAGACAAAAACAACTTCATCAGATGCAAGTAAAAGCTACAGCTTAAATGACAGTTCCACAGCAGGTTATGTATGGATCCTACAAATGCCACCGTATATATCAATCTACTCTGCAAATTGACTTAGAAACAAATATCACCAACTATGCAAAATGTTCCCAGTTCTCAGTCTTTAACCTTGACCTAGAAACCAGGACATTCCTTATCAGCTATGAAGAACCACTGACTACAAAAGCATAGGAGAAACAAACAAGAGAAAGCTTTTCACAACAAGCAGCAATATATTCTAATCCTACAGTCCTGTTAAGTCTGTCAACACTAGGCCCAATAGCACAGGGCTGCTCATTTTCTGGGTCTCTGCAGAAGTGACCCGATAGATTAATTCTACCTCAAAAGAGCATTATTGCAGTACTCACCCTTTCAGCAGGTCACTCTTGTTTAGCAATACCTATTTACATTACACTAGTAACAAATCCATATCAAATATTCGCAGGTTTCTCAAGATCAGCTTTCAGAACAGCACTCAATACATCTACTTAATCCCTATTGATTTAACTGAAGTTAATTTTCCAATGCTGATGCAACAGATTGGGAGCTATCAGTAATAATACATAACTCCACCAACTCTTACTAGCTACAGCCTCAGGGTAGACAAAGGGTGTTGAACTTCTACACCTAGGTACCACCTGAGTATCCTCTAAAACCCATTTGTTTCAGGAACAGTCTTACAGGAACTCCATCCAATTTTATCTTTGCTAGGCTGCAGCTGCTACAACCCCACCCCTGCTATTCCCTTGCACCAGAACTGCTGTTTCTGCAACTAGGGGGTAAACTGAAAGCCCAAAGTTGCCTGGGTGGTTTTGTCCACTTTGGGGGGGCTGTGTTTTTTTTGTTGGGAATGGAATCAAAATTTTCTATTGAATCAGTTTGCTGAGTGCAAGAACCCCAGTCCTAGTGTAAGGGGAGGATAAGAGAAAGGAAGCATAACAGTCCTGACTTGGCTCGAGCTGTGGTGGAAGTGCAGTGCATGGCATCAGGAAGATGGCATTCCATAGGAATACATTTAAAGGGTTATGGTTTTTTATTTCCAATTAATAAAGGAAAGTCACTTTGTTGTGACATTGCTTGCTTTTTACACAATATACCACCTTAGCTCCCACCCCAGCATTTAAACAAAGCAAAAACAACAATAAAAAAACATAACATTCAGGATTCTTTGCGCCCTAACCCAAAAGAGCACAAGTCAACAATGAATATCTGTAACGACAGAAAGACAAGGCACATTCAAAAGTACAGAGTCATCTAGTTCTTGGAGAAAGGTCAGGGAGCCTTTTTGTAAACAAGAATTCAACAGAAAAGAGCTTCAAGGTAGATAAATGAGGTTGAACTTGTAGAGCCCTTCAGTTTTATTTTCAGCAATGTATCTAAATCTACAATAATTTTATAAGTAACCAGCAAATAGTCTTAAAAGTAAGCTTTTTTATAGAAGAATATGATTAGAGCAGGATATGTTTCCTATTGTCTTTCTTTCAGTATACCAAAGACATGGCAATTGCAATCTGTATTAACATGCGATCCTTATTGAAAATATAAGTCTAGAATCACTGTTACGCGCAAGAAACAAGATGAATCGTCACCTGGCAGTGATCATCAAGTAACAGCAACAGTTAAGACAAACTGTAAAACAAGAAATTGAAGGCAAGATCAATATATTAATATCCATGGTTGGTATTCAGCATGTATTTGGTTTATGTACATTCTTACACGTGAGGGTTTTTTTTTCCATAATTAGTTTACAGGGATCATTTGCTCAACAAGAGGCTTAAAGTTTCAGTCAGAATGAAACTCCTAACTGAAATTCCAGCA